ATTGACAGCTGTTTTACACACTCTTATAATTTAAACTTAAATCTAATCTTAAATCTATACAAATATTTTTCACTATTTTCTATTTATGCTCACAATTTCATAGCAATTGTTTTGTTACAGTTTTCTGTTAAATATTTTTATTAGAGAGAGAGAGAGAGAACTCTCGGAATAATTTTATATTATAGAAATTGTTAAAACATTACTTTCTATCTAAATAACAATACCATATAATTAATTAATAAACAGACAATTTTTTATTGTTTTATTTAATTAGCTGTTGTTGAATGCTGAACTAAAATGTTGAATTAAAAACTACACGTTTTATAACCAAAGTATTTTATTTATTGGTACCTAAAACAAAGTGAAAGTATTTATAAAACCATATGTAACAATTATTTATAATTAAATTATTATAAAAATATGAGTATAACTTATTTTAAAGTATTTAGTAATATAAGCAAAAAATTGCGAAAACATTCCCATAATATAACATTATATAACATATCTCAAGATATCCGTAAATTTAGCTCAAATATTACTCCAATTGATTTCATGTGTATTTTAATCACAATTTATCTAATCATTAAATCCAGATATTGTATTCAAAATTATTTGTTTAAGGTATGTTTATGGTGTATTGCGTGTATTGACCACTGTTAATTTACTTTATTACAGTAAATTCATTGTAGTAATAAATTGTTAGATTAATACAATTTCTAATTGTTTTTTATATATAAATTTAACAGCCGTTATGTGTGTCACTTAAATCCAACGTCAATTATATGGACAAAGCATGTGATAGCGGTTTCAAACTGTGCTGCCATACTCTGGTCACTCTACTGGCCATTAGAATATTATTTTTCAAAGACTGTACCGTATGTTTTGCTAAGTTTGACTTTGGTAAGTTTTTTATAATGCCACCGTAATTAGAGTATAGCTATTAATACATAAATTTATTAAATTTTACTTCAAACTTATTTGGATTGAGATTGTGAGTTTAATACGTCAATAATTAGAGTATAATTAACATTAAGATAAATTAATTTTTAACTTTGATCATTTTGGGAGCAGTATATTCGGAGACAGAACCGATACCGACCTTAATCAAAATCTATTACTTCATACAAATTTCATATTATTTGGAGGGTTTATATACCGAGTTATTTGCCGCGCCCCAGAAAAAATTAATCACGGTCATTTTGATGCTTGTACATCATTTGATCACAATCATTTTGGTGTTGGGATCGTATATGACCCGGTAGTATATGATTATTATAAAAAATATATTAAAAACCTTATGATACTATTCCATAGTAACCAAGATTGCGGAGTTGTGATCATGTTTTTGCACGATATCAACGATATATTTATTGATTTTTCCAAATTATTATACGCTGTGAGGGAACAAAATGGTAAAATTAGGCCACATTTTAAGATGGCCTACACTATCGGTGTCTTTTCCCTACCGGTCACTTGGGTTATAAGCCGTTTGTATTACTTCCCGCTCAACGGTATATACAGGGCGTCACTATTACCCGAAAGTTATACCATATTAACTCTACTACACATTTTGCTGCAATTGATCATGGTGATGAATGTGATCTGGTCAGTGGTATGTATTTTGTGTCTATAATTGTGTAAATAAATGACCATAGTAATTTGTTTCTATATTTGGTTGCAGTGGATGTGTGTCTTCTATTATCAGGTCATCAATGGTAGAGAAGTGGCGGACCCGATGTCTGCTGACACCAACAAAAAGTCCAATTAATTTGTCATTTTTATTAATTATGAATGTTATAAATGTTTTAATTAATAATTTTTGTAGAATTAATTGCCATATTTTTAAACTGTTTGTCAAAAATATTTTATTTAAAATTATGATAATTTTTGTTTCCCAACCAATATTTAATATTAAAATTATTATTTTGTTGAATATTTTGTTGATATAATTTATATGTTAACACAATTTAAGTGCAAGTGTTGTGTTTGTGGACACGTATTAAAGTTAATGTCATCTCCAGTACTAAATTGATTTTTATTTAAGCTTTTATTTAAAATATGTTTGAACTAGGCATTATTTTTACTATTTTGGCATTTTCTATTAAAATATTTCCAAACATAATTGAAATGTCATTACATTTTATTATAAAATATTGCTCTTATATTAATTTTTTATTACAAATATAACACAAAATTAAAACACAAATTAATAGACGATTAAAAAGCCGTAAAAAAGTGTCGACGAGAGAGAGAGAGAGAGAGAGAGAGAGAGAGAGA